ATCAGCCATGAGGGGCACGGATCAAGGTCGCATGTGGTTGGGCGCACAGACACGAACAACCTGTCCGCTTCCTCCAGACTGAGTGGGTCAAAACACGCTAAACCCGGCTCCAAAGACGTGCAAGGGGCCTCAAGTTCGCTAACTGTATCAATTGTTCACGGCGGAGTGCCGAGACTTTATCTGCAAAATAGCTCGCAAAAGCCTCACAGCCAATGTCCAATTCCCTAACATTTTCCTTGCCCTGAGGCAGAGTTGTCAAAGACCGAATTACTCTAAATAATTGGGCCGGGCGTGAGCTAGCAGACGCAATCGAGGCCGCATAGAAATCTTTCTTTGCGGCCTTGACTGCCATCCCGTAGGCTTTCATAAGCGTCCTATAGGATGTTCTGGACACCTCGTCGCAAGCGCGACGCCACCGTCTCTCTAGCCGTCTCAGTTCTCGCTTCAGCGAGCGCAACTCCTGCGTATACCAGGGAGCTCGCTTATCACGAGCGCGGAGAGGGCGCCTGGGAGCGATCTCGTCGATAGCTGAGGAGAGCCGGTCATTCCAGTCCTCCACCAGCTCTTCCAACGAGTCGCCAGGGGGCCTCGGGTCCCGCAGAGCCATCTGGAGCCGCACAGGGTCCATTTGGCTCCGTGGGCGAGCCAAAATCTGCTCGCCACCTAAACAGGGTCGGGGTGGGACATTCAGACGGGCCCTCAGGGCATGGTGATCCGACCATGGTACTGCCGAGGCAGTAATTCGGTCCACCGTCACTCCCGCAGCAAAGACCAAATCGAGCGTGTGCCCGCCCTGATGCGTGGGAGCCGAGATGACCTGGGAGAGTCCCAGTGCCTCCATGGATGACACTAGGTCCATAGCCCGGCTGGAGGTCGCGTCCTCAGCATGGACGTTGAAGTCACCCAGGACCAGCAGCCTCGGGTGCTCCAGCGCCCAGCCTGATACGGCCTCCAGCAGGGATGGTAGGCTATCGGCCGGTGCGTTAGGTGGTCGGTACACCAGCCAAATCGCCAAACTCTCCTCAGCCTCCATCATCACGCCGACACACTCTATGCCCGTGATCTCTACCTGCGGGAGCGCCCTGACGGAGTAAGCCTCCCGAATGAAAAGCGCCACTCCTCCCCCCCGCCCTCTAATCCGCGACTGGTGAAAGACCGAGAAACCTGGGGAAGCAATTTGGGCGAGTGCCACCGTCTCTCCCTCCTGCACCCAGGTCTCGGTCATGCACGCCAGGTCGGCTTGCTGTTCTAGCACGAAATCCCGCAGGATTTCGGCTTTGTTGTTGATAGACCTGGCGTTGCATAGCACCAGTGACGGAGGAGGGTTCTTAATCCCGGGCCCCCTGCCTGTCATCCTTGGGATGGGTCGAAGTCTGGAAGGGCGCCGAGCCATTCCATTTCTCTCTAGTTTGTTGTGATCCACACAGTCAAAGGCTTTAGCATAGTCAATGAAGCAGAAGTAGATGTTTTTCTGGTACTCTCTTGCTTTCTCCATAATCCAGCGAATGTTGGATTTCCAGATATCCTATGACTAGTCCCCCCCCCTTTTTGGTATCAAATGCAGTTGTTTCTGACTTGGGGGGGGGCGGGACATGTTCCATTGACATGAACGCAGTGGTTGAGCATCTGCTGTGCCTACAAAGGGTCCCGGTTCAGTCCCAGCGTCGTCTCCCGTTCAAATGGTCAGGCTGGAGGTGACCTGAAAGACCTCCCTGCCTCCTGGAAACGGAGCCATTGCTAGTCAGAGGAGATGCTGGCAGGCAGACGGAATGACGCAGGAGAAATTGCTCGCCAGGCCAGCAGAGTGCCCATGTGAGGGCACAATTCTCTGGGTGGCCAGCAGAGGGCACTGCCTGCCCATCCTCGGAGGCCAGTTCCCTGTAAATCCTATGAAGAAGGACTGAAGCGTCGGGGAGTTTTTCGTTTAGGGGTGCAACCTCAGGATTTTACCCGTTTATTTTGTCTGCATTCTTTATAGCCCGTCTTTCTCACTGGGACTCAAGGCGGGCTACAGGGAGTGAGTCCGCCCAGTCCACAGGACGGAGCGTCCCACAGACAATGCGATGGGATTTGGCTTGTAGAGATCTGGAGCCAACCAGAAATCTGAAAGCAGAACTGAAGCATGATGCGTTACACGATGCAGAAATGGCACCGTGCGCTCCTACTCACAGCAACAGGCACCCCGACGCATCGCTGAGGGAAGAAGGGAGAGAGGGGGCTTCTTCTTCCTCTCCCATGACGCTAGAACTGGGGGGGGGGGTACCTGATGAAATTGATGGCTCACGACAGTCACAAGCACATGTGTGTGGATCAGGTACCATCTAGATGCTTCTGGCAGACCTATGAATGAATGACCTCCAAGATGAACGGTCCTTAACTATCCTCGCTCAGGGTCTTCTTGGAAACGGAGGCCCCCCCCCCCCATGGCTTCCTCCGCTGCGTCAGTCCATCTCCGGTTGGGCCTTCTTCTCCTCCTGCCGCCTTCCATTTCTCCCAGCATCCTTGTCTTTTCCAGGAACTCTCGTCTTCTCACAGTGACCAAAGTACGATAGTCTCAGTTGAGTCGTTTCAGCTTCATGGGAGAGTTCAGGATGGATTTGCGCTGGAGCCCCCACTGACTTGTCTTTTCGGAGGTCCAGGGTGTCCATGAATCTCCCCCAACACCCCATTTCAAAGGAATTCACATGAGCACGTGAAGCTGCCTTATACCGAATCAGACCCCCCCCCCCGGGGTCCATCAAAGTCAGTCTTGCCTACTCAGACGGGGCAGCGGCTCTCCAGGGTGAGGCCTTTCCCGTCACCTCCTACCTGGTCCTGCCGGGGTTGGAACCGGGGACCCTTCAGCATGCCAAGCAGAGGCTCTGCCGCTGAGCCACACTAGCCCCTCCCCTCCCCTCCCCGTTCTGCCTGTCCGCTTTCCTCACTGGCCAACTTTCACCTGCAGACGTAGCAATGGGGACTACTGTGGTATGATGGACTGTCTGGATCGTGGCCACCATGAAACCCA